GAAGAAATAAATAATAATTATGATGATAATATATAAAAGATAACTACTTGAATCACTCTTAGTAAAGGGATTAACTCATAGGGGTGAAAGCCTCACACCTCCTTACTTCTCACACCACTCATGGAATGTGAGAAAAAGAAATTCAATTTACTTAATGTTCCATGATGTTTAGTTATAATATTTTACCCTTTTTACAGATCCTGAAGTATAAGAAGTAAAAGAAGAAACGTAAAAACAAGAAAAAATAAAATAAAGAAAATTACATTCCATAAATTAAAACAATTAATTATTTCATGTTTTCTTATTTAGGGAAGATTTATTTTCATATTTGTTTTTACAAACAATCTTCATACTTGAAGATATTTAGTTGAAAGGCTTCCTTCTTTGTCGATTCTTCAATCAACAAGAAACTTGTAAACATGATATCCTCACTCAAATCCAAGACATATGTCCTTTTTCTTTATAATTTTCAATCAAACCAGAAACTTGGAAGGATGATATCTTCAGTCAAAACCAAGACGTATGTCCTTTTTTCTTTTGAATTTTTAAGTAAACCTAATATCATCTTCTCCTATCTTTTATTTGGCTTTTGATTTCATTCTCCTAGTATTACTTTGATAACTAATGTAGGTCTATAAAAGATGTTGCCATATGGAAATTTATGTTATTTGCAAAATACAACTAAACCATGGTTTGCATTTTCATGTAGATTAGTCCTACTGATCGATATTTATCGGGCTAGGCATGAATCGATAGTGGACCGCCTCTTATTTTGGGAGGTTTAGTCCAATTAAAAAATGTCTTTGAAGGTTTAACTCACCAATTCATTTCGGGTCACAAACACGCAAGCTCTCTTCGCCATCTTGATGCAGAGAGTTGTACCTTAATTCCACCTATCCACCTGTGCCTTGCATGCGCCGCTGACCTCTTTTCCAGTACTCCTCTTTTCCTTCTCTACTTTCATTGTCTCCTCCTCCTCCTCTGGTAAGCCAAGACAGATCGTATCTGTATCAATCTAGCCATGGATTGGCATAGGTTCAGTACCCAAATCGCATTCTTTGCTCTAAGTTAATAAAATTCATTCAAATGAGAAGTTACAATCAGTGATTTCAATAGGCGCTCGCTTAGGCGCTTGGGCGAGGCGAGGCCCGAGCACCTCGCTTCACTTCCAAGCGATGCGCTTCAAAGAGGCACCGCCTGGGTGCTCGCCCGAGCCCAGGTGTCGGGCGCTTCGGACGAGCGCCTGGGTTAAACCAGGCGATCGAACCAGCGTTTTAGGTCTGGTTTGGTCTTCGATGCTTTAGTTGGTTCAATCGAACCAACTAAAGCACTGATATCAGCTGCCGTTGCCCAACCCTAACCCTGCTCGCGTTCACGCTGCTGCTTTCACTGTCGCCGCTCGCCGCTCCCGCTGCCGCTGCCGCTGTCGTCGCTCCCGCTTCCGCTGCTGTTGCCGCTGTCGCTGCTCCTGCTCCCGCTACCGCTGTCACCGCTCGTCGCTCCCGCTCCCGCTACCGCTGTCATCGCTCGTCTCTCCCGCTCCCGCTCCCGCTGCTGTTGCTTGCCGCTGTCACCGCTCCCGCTGCTCGCTGCCACTGTCGCCACTCCCGCTGCTCACTTTTACCGCTGTCGCGACACCCTCGGTCTTCCCTTACACTCGTCTTCCTTCTCCACTTTCAAAAGTATACTGTTAACAATATACTAGTAACAGTAATATATTTATATTTATTAGTTTAATAATATATTATTTTTTATTTTAATACTATTAAATAATTATATTTATTAATTATATTATATATTTTAATATTTTAGCGTCTCGCTTCGCTCAAGCGAGCGCTTGGGCAAGTGCCTAACATCTCGGGCGTTTTTGGACCTTGGGGCCTTTTGACGCCTAGCGTTTTTTAAATCATTGGTTACAATGATCTTGCATCACATTTTGCACCTTTTTTGCTTTGATTTAGAAGGACTTACAAATACAAACATTTCTGCAGTTAGGTTTTACTCAACATATATTTGCATCCTAGCCAAAAAACTGTATCACCACTTGGAAAGCTTGGCCAAACAGCAGTATTATCAATTCATTTTTTTCTAATGAAAAATTATAATATTTTGTTGATTAGTAAAACACTTTATCATTGTGTTAATGTTGTTTTTCATCTTGAATAGTTATCACTAGAGGTGCTTAAAGTTTTTAAACTTGCCTTTATGTCAACCCATTAGGAATGAATTACATCTGAAATGTAATTTTTTTTTTCTCTTCTCTGAATCTCCTTTTTCCTGACTTCTCTTTTGTTTTAAATTACTTGCTCTGTAAATCATGCATATGTGGTAATTTTTTCCTTGGATTTTTACAAGTTGCTTTTGATGCTGATGTAATGTGGAGAACTTGCTACCTGAAAACTGATATTGTGCAAGGTTTTACAGGAAAACGGCCAAGGGATTTGTTGAATCCTAAAGCGGCAAAGTATATGCAGTCAGTTTTCTCTATCAAGGATGCAATTGGGAAAAAAGAAAGTCGCGAGATCAGTGCTCTTTGTGGGGTTACAGTTTCACAGGTCCTTTTCTTCCAGCTGGGATGTGACTTGTCATTTCTAGTACTTCTCTTATGTATATGTCATTGTAACAACTATTACAGTGAGGATAAGTCGCATTTAGGTATGTTATATTGCATGCAACACAGAGAATAATGAATGGTTTGAGAAATGAAAAATAAGCAAGGATTTTACTTTTTAGTGGGTTGCATCAAAAAAATTGTGGTTCAAATTTTTATAGTCAGCTGAATTTATTTTTAAGTTTAATTTTCTTGAGGAACTTGTTCAAGCCATCTTTCACCCTTTTATCACTGGAATGACATAGCAGAAGATTATGAAAAATTTTAGATGAAGTTTATGCTGCAAATATTGTCATCATAAAAGTACTTCGGGCACAAATGCTTTAGTCTAGAAATAAGATTTTCATCTGGAAATGGTTTTTTCTACACAAATGTAATTTATTTGATTTGGACCAGTTGATTGATTCTGTTTTCATCTATGAATTGCTGAATCTATAAGATATAGCATCTATTAGCTGACCAGAATATCATGTAAACTTGTGGCAGGAATATGCTATTTATGATGACAAGATGTCAATCTAAGGCATTGTAAGTACTAAGTAGTACAAATTATCAGTTTGTAGCCTGATTCATCTTGCTTACTCGGATTTCTACTCTTTGTTGTTTCATCATGGCTCTTCTCTCCTGATGTTCTTGACTTGTAGGTTGATGCTGCTCAATAAATATTT